GAATACCTCAGAATTCTTTCGACTGCTTCTGTCCTGTGTCACATCATCAATAAACACTAGTGTCCCAGTGCCATTGGCAGCCATGTACACCCAAGCCATGGCACTGCCATCACCATGTTTTAGAGATAATATGATATGCTTTGGATCAGGAGCTGTTTCACGTCTTTTCCATACTTTTTTCTTGTCATCATTCTGGTAGAGGTTGGTCTTGGTCTGGTCCAAAGAATGTTATTTCTAGAATTGTGCTGGCTTTTTTATATGCTTTTTTAGCAACGTCCATCTAGCTTTTCTATCCTTGAGGCTTATGAGTAGCTTGCATCTTGCAGTGAACCCTCTGTATTTACTTTCATGCAGTCTTGAATTTATGGCGGACTTGGATATCGATACACCTCTCCTCCTGGAGAGTGTTGTTGGTCACTTGGTTGGCTGTTATGAAGGGGTTTCTCATCACCATGGAAATGATTCTGCGATCATCCACCACTGTTGTCTTCTGTGGACGTCCAGGTCTTTTTGCATTGCTGAGTTCAGCAGTGCTGTCTTTCTTTCTCAGGATGTACCAAACTTTAGATTTCACAACTCCTAATATTGCAGCAATTTCTCATATGGGTTTTTTCTGTTTTCGCAGCTTTAGGACGGCTTGTTTCACTTGCATGACTGCATGTTGTCTGTTTACAGCAAAATCTTCCAAATCAAGCACTGCACCTTTAGTCAACTCCAGACCTTTTATCTGCCTAATTGATAATGACATAATGAAGGAATTACACAAATCTGGCCCATGTTAAAGAGCTGAAACTTGTAAACTCTTCATCCAATTTAATTGTGGATACACTAAAATGAAAGCTACGAGTCTACACATTATGTCCATGTCCATTATATAACTATAACTGGAAAATATTTCAGTAAACAGTTTTAAAAAAACAACCCTTCAGTACGTCAGTATCCTAACTACATCAGTTCTGGGATCTTTTTTTCCGATTGTTTCGCATTGCAAAAGAATAACATGGAGCTCATGGCAGTCAAATGTTTGTACACTTGAGTCATCTGCAGTCCTTATTTGTACTCTGTTTTTACACTGTTTTCATACTTGGACAATGAAAACCTCTGTAGGCCTACTCTTTTCCTGGTTGTGTCGTTAAGGGAATCGATAAAGAATGAGACCCATGAGCAGAACTGATAATAACACTGGTATCAATAACATTTTTTCAATATCTATGCTTGTGGTTTTACTCTCCAGCCTGTATAGACAGTAACAATAGCTGGACCTAGGCTGAGTATTTTGTTCTTGATCAAATACTGTAATGCTTTTTAAAATTTGCCACCAAGACACACATGTGACTTCAGGCTTGTAGAAAACAAAAGCTAATATAATTCACAGAGAAGTTGGGGTTTTTCCCAGTCATTTTAACAAAGTGAGTCTTATAGAGCCAGCATCTAGCTGCCGTACTTCTCAAGTGGCTCCAACTTTTGGCATTGCTGGTTGCCGCTTGGATTTCATGGCACTTTAGAGTTTTATAAGAGGATTTAGTGTCTGGATCAGAAAACGGCAAAAAACAGAATTTGAAAAATTCATCAGCAGCTTTCTCTAAAGGGCTTGAGTTGTCGCCCAGATACATGAGCGACATTAGGCATTGATGTTTTGCTACCAGCTGTCTAATTGTCCAGGAAGATGCCTGCTGAAAAATTATGGATGAGATTCTCACAGCTTGTGATAGATTATCTGCTACCTTACCAGACACTACAGCTCTGTTGCTAAACTACAAGTTGATGGTTTTGCATCAAAATGACTTTTGCATCAAGTCTTTTTGCAAACTTCTCAAACTGCAGTTCCTATGCTATGGATTTTAAACAATAAAAATTACAATTTTAAGATGACTACCAAATAAGTTTCCCTCTGTAATGAATTCACCTTGATTTAAGTCTTGTGCCTGTGGTCTTTGTTCAGTAGAGATCAATTTCAATTTGTTAGAATTCAACAATGAAATTTAAGTTTTTGAAAACCAAAGAAAAAGCTTTGGAAACTAATCACAGATTGCAAAGCAGTTCTTTTCCTTTTAATAATTCATCTTAATTCCTAAAGGTCTTTGTATTGGCTCGCTTAGAATGTCCTATTCTTTTTCTCATTGCTACCCAGCATCCCTCATGACTGAACCCACAGCATGTCTTTCCCTGGGGCTGTCAGGTCAGGGGTAGAAATAGCAGCAACCTCTCAGTCCCTGGGGATGTTGTCTGCCTCTCTGACCAAAGCCCTGTTGTTATCACCTGTTACCAAAGGCTGTATTCTTCCAGGCTACTCTCAAATGATTTGGAGTCAGTGGATTAAACTGGTAGTCTGGTGGCCATAATTTAGAAGAACGACTCAACACCTCACTAGGGGAGAGGAAGGAGGATTGTTAGAGAGGTGCCTATAAGGGGCTTGGACTTGGAGAGCTTTGCTGCAGTTAATGAGAGTGAGTGTGTTGACACAATTAGATAGAGCTACATAATGCTTCGGCTCCTGAGCTTCTTTTGGACCTGGATCCTCGGCTGTCTTTCTCTTTCTGTCACAGACATTCAAGAGGTTAAACAAGCACCTAGATCATTAAAACAGACTTGTTGAGTGTTTGAAAAAAGTTCTTGCCATTTACCTCACCCCTGCCTATAATTTAAGTACCTGTTGATAACTGCCATTCCTTACCACGGTCAGATTTGAGCTACATTGTTAATTTTTGTACAATGTTACCTACCTGTGTTGTGTGCCAGAGGTTTGTTCTGGCCCAGATTAAGAAGGTCAGACCTGTAAGTAAATACTCTGTCTTTTACAGGTGTTGGCACGGGCTTACATGTTCTGCCGTTAGCTCCCATCATCTCTCATGTCCACCTGCTGGGAACAGCGTTAATGAATAGTTGTTTTTTACATTAATAAAAAAAACTAAAAAGACAAAAAAGAGATAGTTTTACGGAAGTGCTATTGTTTGAACCATCGCCTGTGCACTTATCAGTCAGGTTAGTGCTGCCAACATTGTGAGGAAAGTTATGGATTTACAGAGGCTCCAGTGTGGGAGGTGGGGAGTGGGAAAAATATGCTTGCATATTTCCAGTGCCCACAACCCTGTCCAGAGTGAGAAAATACACAGCTACAGTTATGCATACATGCACGTCCTCGTGTTCACGTGCACAGTGAATATCCTGTTGTCAACTTCGAGGCACGCAAGGAGCGCTCAGACTCTGAGATGTGCAAGGCCCTTAGACTGTTTAAGTGATGCCAGCCCTTTGGGATTCACTCGGTGAAATGGAATCGGTAGCACTGTCATGGCAGCCCATATGCTGCTGCTGCTTTGACTTTAGCAGCGCAATCCTTCACTTAGCTATTCAGGTAGTCAAGGCCAGCTGGTTACCCAGCCTTTACACCCCTTCCACAGAGAGTATGACCTCTCATACTGCTTTGAAAGATAGAGATAAATAAGTGATAAATCCCAGCTCTTTTGCCATAATATATATATATTTAAATATAAATCAATATTGAATGACTGGTTGTCCATTATCCATTTCTTTGCCTGTGGATTCAAGTGTGTTTACAACCCAGAGGAGAAGATGGATCTTTAAAGAGCCCTTAATAGCCTAAGAGATTTAGATTCAGTTAATAGAATATTTCTACCTTTTTTCCTTGTGTTTGCATTTATTCCGATACTCTTAAGGCTTTCTGTGTGAACGTGCTTTCCTGACTGTGTGAAATAGCTATTGGGCTTGCAGGAGTCTGACATGTAAGGTATAATGAGGTAAGGGGATCCATCTCGCTTTCTCTACTGACACAGCAGTGTGTGTGTGCGTGTCTATATGTGTGTGTGTATATGTTTGTGTGTGTCATCCTGTATAACTGTGTGAAAAATAGAGACAGTGAGAGAGAAAGCCTGGAGCTTACCAAGCTTACATAGGTGTCAGACCTCACAGCTTCAGAGCAAGTGTTGACAGAGCTACACACTGATCTTATTGTTTGAACTGCACACAGTGGAGTCTGTAATGTACTCTCTCCTCAGATAACACTTGAAAATGAAAAGCCGCGTTATGTCTTTCATCCATTAACAGAAGTATTATTATGCTGTTTAAAGAAATGGTCTGTACAGCACTTTACTTGGTCCTAAGGACCCCAAAGCGCTTTACACTATACACACACGTGATGGTAAGCCACAGTGTAGCCACAGCCACCCTGGGGCGCACTGACAGAGGCGAGGCTGCTGGACACTGGCGCCACCGGGCCCTCTGACCACCACGACTGTCCAAGCCGGGGCTCGAACCGGCAACCTTCTGATTACAAGACGAACGCCCAACTCTTGAGCCACGATCGCCCCAAGAAGATAGTGTGTATACTGTATAGTTTCTCTGAATCACATTTGTGTGACTGACAATGGCAATATCAAACTACATTAGTATGTAATTTTGAGTAAAGCTCATCTGCTGAGATTGCAGCTGAGCTTGATTCCCTGGCCCGCTTGAACTCATACCAGACTCCGTTTATACTGCATATTAAAATCAGAATACTTTATTAATCCCAGGGGGAAGTTGATTAAATTTAGTTTAAGAGGGCAAGAATTTAAAAAATCAAGAAATAGTATTAAAAAAATGGCAGGAACGACGGCAACATGTCCATGCAGGTTAATGCACACACACACACACCCATGTATATATATATAGATAGATATAGATATAGATATATAGATACAAGTAACTATAACTTAGTGTCTTGAAAAGCTAGCATCAGTTACATATAAAAGGCCTGTGAAGCTTAGGACTTTGTCAGAGGTTGAGAACTGCAAATGTGCTTTGAGAGAGAGGAAAACTAAATCTTAAGGAAACTGGGAATGGGAACAGTCAACACAACTTTCAAAATTGTGTTTTAATGTGTGTGTTAGCGGACCATAGCTGAGTTCAGTAAATGTTCTTTTTATGCCTTCATCAGCTTATCGCCAAGACTCAACAGGCGGTCAGCGGAGCTCTGGGCCAATCCGGTGCCAGCGATGTCGGGAAGTTTGCAAAGGCGAAGTGGTACGAGTACAAGAGACCCACTTTCATGTCAAGTGTTTCACCTGCACCGGTAAGAAATGAATCAGTTATATAAAAATCACACAAACTGGAGCTGCCTTGCACAGTTCCTAAGCCTGGGTGGCCATGGTTAGAAAGAACTGGGAATTCTAGTGGTAGGCCAGAAACAAGACATCTATCTTGGTCACGTCTTCGTCTGCTGAGCACACACCCACATGCACGCTTGCAGATACTGCCCATGCACTTTTTCATCCGTCTTCTAGCGTACATGCTGAGTGCTACTATTAGTAAACGGTGGGGATTGGAATGGATCAGAGGTGCTTTGCAGGCGACTCAGGCTCCTGCTAAGGTAGCCTGTTAATTTGCTGGCAACTTAAAAGAGATTGTATGCTGTGGATTAATGAGACTGATTTAGCTTTGCAGTGGAAGAGCACCGGTGACCTCCAATAGAAACAATGGTGACATAGTCACACACCCTCTTAGTGTAGGAGGTGTGTGGAATCCCTTTCACTTTTGTCATTTGTGTTTGTCTATTGTGTAAAGCACATTTACATGGCAGCGTGCTCTATGACATGTTTTACTGCAGGGTTAATTGACATTTTGAGAGCTACACACCCAGGTAAAATGTACACTGGTTATGCTGTAGACTTTGGAGGCAAAATGTATTCACACTGTGACCAACTGACATTCAAGTTGAGGGAAATTTAGGAGGTTGACAGTCTGATGAATGGGATTTGTATTTTTATGTGGCTCAGCAAAAATCAGACTGACTCATAGTTCATTTCAAATGCAAAACTGACATGTACAATTGGCAACATTTGCAGAGTGAAGGGCAAGTCTGAAAGGTGCTCATGATAAGCATGTGTCTGTGCATGTGTAAAATGAAAACTGGAAATGAAAGAAACGAGGAATGCTGTTTGTCACACTGCTGTACAGCCTTGAGCAAGCGCTCTCAGAATTATGTTAATAGTTCCACACTAAAACAAAGACAGACAGTAAGTTGTGGGTTACTTATCGGTTCTTTGTAACATTTGAGACCAAAACTGTTACAGGACAAATGAAAAAGGAATCGCCTTGCCACATCTTTTCTGTAATATGTTTGCATTGGTAGCACGAGTTGCTTAGAGGAATGGTTTATTATCGTTTAATGCTGTACAAGGGATTTGGAGCAAACATTTATTATATTATATTATATTATATTATATTATATTATATTATATTATATTATATTATATACACCCAAATCAATCGACAGTGTGCTAAAAGAGTCTTGAGCCACGCCTCATTTCTTTATATTTTCCTTCCAAGCAGCCAAGCTTTCTTGTAAATTTTTAAAGTGGTTTTAATCAATAGTTTGTAAAGGATTTGTAAAGGTCTTTAAAAAAAATTCTGTGGACATTGGTTACTTTTTCAATCATTCTCTGTTCAGTTATTATACCTGACCATTTTAAAAGGAATTTTTTTTTATAAAGCCCTTTAATTATGAAGTACAAATTATTCAAGCGCAAAAATAGCGAGTGATGAACCAGTGTTGCATTACGCATAACAGCTTAACAAAGAAGCATTTTTTTTTGTATCTTTAGGCACGCTAGCATCAGTCTGTTGCAAAAACACATAATTCTTCCCATTTCTTTATATGAATATTTGAAAAGTGCCAAAAATAAAGCAGTTTGACAAGCACAAAACTTTATGTGTGCACCAACAAAACGAGAACAAAAAGAGCTATTAGCTGAAAGCTTGGCAAATCTCAGCATCTTGTGCAGCATGTCCGTAAAATAAATTGAAGAAACTGCACAATTGAATGACAAAAAAAATGAAGTGACGGAGCTTAAAAAGAATCAAATGAACTGTTTCTGAAAGTCATGTCCTTAAGAAACAGCAAACAAATGAGCTAATAGATGCATCTGGTTAGATTTTCATCCACCACCCAACAACATCGTGAAAGTGTACGACTGTTAAAGCGTGATTTAGGGTCCTGCAAATTTGTCTGTTGAGGGGGGTTTTTACCCATCGCAGACATGCTCCTTTGTAGTCCTCCAAAATCCTAACTGCATCCAGTCACTGCATCCAGTGACATGGAGTTAGCCAAATGCTGATTGGTTGACAGGTATGGTGGAGGAGCTCACCAGGAAAGGAAGAACTTCAGAAAAAAGATAAAAAAAATACACAAAAAAAAGCACAGACAGTAGTGGACACCTTTTATTGTTTTTAACACTGGTTTCCCATCAGCTCTTTGAATATTATAGCTTTGCTCTTCTCCACGGCTGGCTGACGCACCAACAATAGCACAAGTAAGAGTTGTCCACAGACTGGTTGTACCACATACTTTGTACACTGCTTACATCTGATAACAGAGCTCTCTGCAGGTGCACGGGTTATCCCGGGACTACCAGCGGAATATGAATACACTACCCCTGCTGAACCATAAATTCGCCTTCATGCCTTCATTTTCAGCATGACAATGATCCCAAACTCACTGCCAATGCAGTAAAAGCATACCTGGATAGAAAAACCACACAATGGAGTACTGTGAGTCAGTGATTGGTCGCCCCAGAGCTCAGACCCCAACATTTTTGAAGCAGTGTGGGATAATTTTGACAGAGAATGGAACTAAAGGCAGCCGACATCCAAAAAAGAGCTTTGGAATGTCCTTCAAGAAGCCTGGAGAACTATTCCTGTAGACTACTTAAGAAAATGACAAGAAAGCTTTGCTCAGAGAGTTCAGGCTGTGCCAAAGAATAAATGCTGTCGTACCAAAAATTGAGTTTCAAGCTCATTAGAATTGTGCAAACTCTTCCACTGTAAACATTATTCAGTGCAAATTTTTAAAAAATGAAAAAACAAAAAAAACCAGAAAAAATATTATTTCTTTTTTTTTTTCATTTCCTGTTTTTTTGTGAGACAGGACAACTGTCTTTTTCTTTTTTTTAACACCCTGACAACTTTTTTACATAAGGAAACATCCTGAGTAGTAGGGCTGGGCCATATCATACCGTTCACAGTGATACCGGTATAATGTTGGGCAACGATAAGAAAATGAAATATAGAATATGGGTAAAACGCGCATGCGCAGTGCATTTGTTTTCATACGCACATGGCGGAAAAAGCATGGCGGCGACGGAGAATGTGAAAGGCGAAAGCAGATCGTTGAATTAAGCAAATGAACCAGAATTGGTTTTTAAAAATGCTGCAACTTCAGTGGTGTGGAACTGGTTTAGCTTTCGTCCGTCAGATACACAACAAAGCACTATTTTTGGTAGAGCATGCTAGCGGGCCGTCGTTATTACCGTGTTTTTTTGGAAAATACGGCACACTTAAAATCAATCCTTTGATTTTTCTGAAAATCGACAGTGCCCCTTATAATCCCGTGTGCCTTATGTTTGAATTCTGGTTGTGTTTACTGACCTCGAAACGATTTTATGTACACGGCGCTCGAAAATCTGTCAAATGTTTTAGTACGACTTTGCTAAGCTACGAACCCGCACAGCTTGATGGATTGTCGGAGCATTACGGCTGTAATGCACATAAAAAACAGCTGTTGTTTAAGTGAAAATACATTGATGGGGTTTTTTTGCACTAATAAAGTTGTGGAGTTGTAAAGTATTTTGTCTAGTGTCAATTATATCGTCAGTTATATCGTTATCACAAATTTTCAAATGTATATCGTGATAAATATTTTTGGTCATATCGCCCTGCTCTACTGAGTAGTCTTTAGATAATCGTGAAGCAATGGTGGGTAAGTTGGGTTTGTTATTCTCTGCACTACAGTGCTGTGCAGCTCCCAGACGTTCTACAGTTGATAAACTCACAGAAGGCTATTCTTCTGAGGATTGTTGTTACATCTAGCTGTCACACATGTAAAAAAAAACCAAAAAAAGCTTATTGTGCACACATGCAGTTGTGTTTATAAGCACGCACGTCTACTGTATACATGTGTGCACGCTCACTGTGGTTGTGTGGGGTTGCTGTGGTAACGATGTGAAGGGGCACCCGGGCCCTGGTTGGTGGATATTCTCAGCATCTCTATGGTCCTATTAACCAATCGAAAGGCTCTGTTCTGTGCCCCAGAGAAAAAGGGGGGCAGAGCACCGAAACCGAGCAGAAAAGAGAAAAAGAGGGGGGATGGGGGGTCGTTTGTGTCGCCTAAACATTACATCATCACTAGTATAATGCCAGTCTGATTCTCACTTTCTTTTCTTCCTCTTCTTCACACTCGTAGCAGCGCCATGCTAATGGAAAGCTGTCACCGATCGCATCATCTTAGCCTACACCTATCTGACAAATCTCTCCCTTCGTGTTCCAGACAGTTCTCCTGCTCCCATGAGGCAATGGGGGACTATTGTGTGGCCAGGCTCTGACACAAACCTGCCCATAATATGCTCTCCCGTATGGACTGCTGCACACCCAGCAGTTTTCTAAAGCTTTTATTGTTCAGTGTGTAAATCCCCCTGACACACAAACATGTTCCATGTTCCGTTGAACTTCGCAAACTCCATCTTTCCCCTTTTGTCTGCATTGACTTTGGCTTTTAGTTTGTTCTCTGTATATTTTTTGAGAGTGTAAAAATGTCCTGAATGCATTGGTAGGATTTTTCCCGTGTCTGTCCATCTCTGTCATGTGTTTTTTCTGATTCTTCTTCTCTCTCTCTCTTTTGCTTTCTCCATCTTCTTCTTTTTCCTCATGACAGTCACTCAAGCATGAAATCAATTTCTCATCTCGGGGCAGGATGACATTGGCAAGCGGTGTGTGCAATTTGGAGGCTAATGGCTAAACTGTATTATGCCAACACACCGTAGTGAAAATTCACTGCCCGGCAGCCAATATCTTTATCTATCACTCCTGGTTATGAACTTTGAGACCGGGATGTGTTTCATCATTTGATTTTGCGCTTTTCTGGCCTTTTTTTTTCTCTTTTTAGAAATCAGAATGAGTGCGCAGGTTATTGACCTTGACCATTTCCTTCATCTTCACTGTGAAACTATGACAAAAAATCTCCCTCCTGTTTTTCCTACTTCTCCTTTTCTGTCTGTATTGCATCCAGCCCCCTTTTCTCCTCAAAAGGGCTGACTATGCCCCACTGAATAGCTCCTGATCATTCAGTCTTAAAAAGTCTGACACTCTCAGTTACTGTCTCCCACATTCTCTTAGCATGTAAAAACACATATGGACATACAGCCACATCATTTATCATTTCATTCTCCCTCTATCTTTGCCCACACTTATGAACCTTCTGCATGCTACATTACCATAATTCATCTCTCATGCATTAGTTAGAGGAGGAACAGATCACTAATCATCTCATTTGAACCCATTATACCGCAGCTGATTACGGCATGAAAAAGCAGCCACGCAATCAGCTGGAAAATATCAAGACAAAAAAAGAAGAAGAAGTATGGAAAACGCTGAAGACAGAAGCCAGCTCACAGAATGATTAAACAGCCCCTGAATACATGCATCCTGTAGCGCTTGTCAGCAGCTATAGTGTGTAACGATGGAGTGTTCTATTACTGCTATATGGGCTGACTAGTGCATACTGGTTCAGTGACATAGTGACCACATTTACCCAAAGCATAATTGGCACTCTTAGATTCCAGCAAAAACAGAGGGAGCCTGTCAGTGTCACAAGCATAAGGCTAACTCAAACATAAATCAAGGTGCTTGCTTCCTATGCAGCCAGCTCACAGACTAACAAAGAACACAGACACAGAGAAGCAAATATCCAAACAGAGCAGGAGACAGATGCAAACACAGACACCTTTGCACATAAACTGCAAACCTGCTCCCGGTAGTTATTTATTTTCTGAGACAAAGCAGATTTCTCTCATAAAACAGCGCTGAGGGGAATAGAAGATTTATTCAGACAGGTCAGATAAATACTTGACTGCTCTGCTAATGCACCCTTTCTGGCTGATATTCTCACCGGGGCTTTTATAAAGTAGCAGCATCTTTGGCTCTTTCTCTGCAGATCTGTCTCAGTCAATCCAGCCTCCCTTTGGAAGCCATCAGCCCCCATCATATTAACATCAGCCTACTGTACTGTACTGCCACTGCTCTCTGAAGGCAAGGGGAGAGACTATAATGGAGAGAAGTACAGTGGGGAGTAGAATATAAAAAAACAAAGAGAGAAATAAAGAGAAAAACAAAGACAGCAAGGTTATGAGGAGAAACAGAGAGACAGACACAGAAAAAGCACAAAAAACCACACAAAAAAACGAGGGGGTTACAGGAAAGGGGAGCTTCCTGTAGCTATAGCAACCGCTGGTACGCCGGTCCAATCACCACGCCAATGCATGGTTGCTAGGGAGAGATTCTGGCGGAGGGAGAAGGGAGTGTGGCAGGAAGTGGCGCTTTTCCCTTACGACTCTGGATTCGGTTTAGATGCCAGGCATTATACCTCTGTTCGTTTCTCATACAAACATGGCTTTCACATACTGAGAACCTTTTTGTTTCCTCTAGGTGTGTCTGTGTGTGCTTGCTTGGAACAGTGAGGTGCAGCTTCCTAGGTGTGCAAGTGTCTTCTTCAGAGAAGGAATCTTTTCTTGATTGTAAAGAAGAAGCCGTGTTAGACTAGCGCATTCGGACATACCGACAACTGGAGCATGTTTAGGGCTTATTTCAAAGCGTCTGGCTGTCTCTGTGTGTCTGTGATCTCGTTCATGTCTTGTTTTCCCTTCCCCTCAGAATCTCTCATCAGCTCTCTTAGGGTTAAAAGCTGAAGGCCTCAGTCTGCTGGTATGAAGAGACTCCACTGGGCTACCATCTGTCTCCATCAACTACAGCAGCCAAATATGAGGGAAGCCCTGCCACTCATGCATGCTTTCTCTCTGCTTTAGCCTTTAGCTGTCCACCCGCCTCCTCCTTCTCTTGCCCTTTCCTATAAAAACATCTCCGTCTATCTTCTATTGCCGTTTTCCTTTAGACGTGCTTGAAGCAGAGCTCAAGGGGTGGCAGCACTGTCCAGTTGGTCCAGACATAAATATCCCAAAAACTACTGGATGGTTGAACCTTACTACATCTCTTGATATGAATCAGAAGTTTAGTTATTTACTGAATTCACCTGATTAATTGTCACAAATTTGGTATGGATCTACAAATTCTTCATAGACAATGAATTCATGCTGTCATCAGTTCACTTGTATGCATATTGCTAAGTAGTGAGCTTTAGCATGCTAATACATTAAATTAAACTGCATGCACTGTAAAATATGTGCAAAAGCTCAACCTGCATTACCTGCATATCAACTGTACACCTCTTAAGAGTATTGAGATTGAAGCGCAGTGCCTCACAGAGCTGCTAGTGTGCCTTTTGTCTGTCTCCTCTTCCTGTTTGTCTGACCCCTTCTTCCAGCGCCCCACGATTTGGCACAACTTGAGAAAACGCATTATTTACTCTTGAAGTGTTCCCTCCTGTCAGAGAGCCTCAGATCCGGGGGGACAGGGAGAGGGCAGCGAGGGCCCCATGTTGGTACCACAGATGTGCGTCTGAAGTTCTTTCTCTAATGAAACTTGTCACTGCCCCACTACTAAATGTCCCTTTGCTAAACTATCTGTGACTGCCTGTATTTTCCTCCAAAAGGTTGGGAAATTAGCACAATGCTGACAGCAATTAAAATGTGCTGCGAGGCTACTTTACGATACTGCAAAAGCATGTCGATTCACTTAATAGCACATTATGAAAATCTAAGTGTGGCGTAATAAGCAGTGGGAAAAAGTTACAGTGACAGACAGAGCAAGGGAAGGAACACTGTAAAAAAAAAGGCGAGATTGTGTTGAGGTACAGCTCTGTAGTGGTGAGAAGAGAGGGTGCAAATTGAGATAAAGCGGAGACTTTGTGCTCAGAGCCACAAAAATTTGGAAGCAGTCTTGAAACGGAAAGTCACAGACAGAGAAGGGGAGAAATGGGGGGGGGTTTAAGGAGGTGACGGACTATTTTAGAGTTCCGTTTTGGGCTGACTTTCAGAAGGGAATTTTAATTGCGTCTGTTGGCTGGAGATAAATACCCAATCAGGCAGACCCCCCGTGGATGCCTAATCAGTGCTGTTATAATGACCACAGCTGCAGACAACAGCCTACATGTTAACCTCTAATAAGGAGACTTATAATCTCTAGATGCTTCCTGCATGGCCCCAGAATGAAATACATCAAGAAGACAAGCGTCATCCTTTGGTTTCCCTCATTAGCATGCCATTCAGGGAGAGAGCATAAAACAAGCAAATAAATGAAATTAAGTGTTTGATCTAATTTGGTTCTGCAAAGCTCGTCTTTATTTAGGCATTTAAATGACAATAAATCTCCACGTCTCCACGGAATAATACACATTTCTTACACAAACAAACAAAACAGTCTTTTTATTGCCTTTTGAGTTGTGCACATCGATGTGGGATGTGCACAGTAAAAATCCTCACGGTCTATTCAGAGGATATTAAAGCAGACCAGAAAAGTTTTCAGTCAGTTGTGCTGGGCTCTTGTTTTTATGGGTGTGTGCCCGCACCCATGTGGTGCTGGTTGTGTGGCTCTAACCAAAATCTTTCTTCTTAAAGCCAAACTGGGCCACAACTGTGCAGCAGCAGCAGAGACACCGGATTCAGTCCCAACTCCACCCACTGTGCTGGCACCTAAAATTCTGAGGGATGAGCTTAGAAAATATGCTTGATGGTCACAGTTGAATTGGGAGTACTTGGAAAGTAGAAGGACTCCTTCTGAGTAGGCTTGTAAAAGTGGAAAGCTTTTTAGGAAAGTGTTATGAATGGCACTTTTTTTTTTCAAATATCTAAAAAGTGTAATTTTCTTTTGGTTACTCACTCAGGTGCACATTACAAAGTGATTACCCTGTTAAAGCAAACAAGCAATACTTGTAGTTTGATCTGATGTAATGATTGATTCGTAGTAATAGGCATGTTTGTAGTTACAGAAATATTGTGGAAAGTCTTTAAATCCAATAAAAAGAGTAGCTGCAGGTTAATAAGCTACAAAAATTCTCATTTCATCATTAATGTCTGCTAAAGGTTGTTTGTTTAGGTTAGAACTATATAAATCAGAACATGGTATAATCCTTTATGTCACAATTACAGTAACAGAGAACCTGGCTACAGATCATCAGATTATGAAAGACGAGGTTTGGTATTTACAGCTTCCCGTTCAACTAAAGCTTCTCCGAATGAGTTACCACCAGTACCACCACCACCTCATCACTCAAACTGGGACCTAGCTGTCTCTAGGGCAACCGTGGAAGGTTTATATCCTCCTGGCAACTGGGTAAGGGGGGAAGTCCTTTGCAATGCAACCGGCTTATCGCCTGAAGAAAACAGCGCGATAAGCCAACAGGTGAACCACACATCTCTCCCGTCCAATCCAGGCTGAGCTGATCAGTTCAGCTGGCTGTGGTTCGAGCCAGCATCCATATGCTTATATATACAGTGCATTAGGCTAATTGAGCAGATTTCACTTATTTAGAAATCAATCTGGGCCAAGACTGAAAAGCAAATCATTTTGAGAACGAGGGTGGAGAGACTGAGGAAAAGGAAAAGAGAGAGGCAAGCGAGAACCAGACGAAATGAATCCAGTCATTGACTTCAATTTAGTTTGAGAAGATGAAAACATTGTTTTTATTGAGTGATTGGCATTTCAAGACACAATGATTTTTTTTTCCATGGTGAAAACATTAATAGATGTGGAAATATTTACCCTCTCATTCCCTTTTTTCCGTAAAGGAACTGGATAGCCTGTGATTTGGGTTTCTGGTAAGAGCCTTAGTAAGTCTGGCTCAAAATGCAGTCGAGGCACTTTTTGAAGCTATGTGCCATTGTTCAGTGGTTCTGGAAATGTGGTTGGCGCAGGCACACACACACATTTATATAAACAAGCTATTTTATATCTGAGAGCTGTGGATCTCCTTATGGATCTTCTTATGCTCCTCTACTGCAAATCTGCACCCACTTTGCCTCAATGCCAATGACCTGTCAAAATGATAAAGATCTACTGCGATCGCATCTCAGTGTGCACGCTGTCCAGTTCTGTCATGCTATCTCTGCATACGCAGTGTGCCACCTCATCGGGGATGGATTTATGTGTCTCCATCCTCCTGAGGGAGATTGTTTTGTTTTTAAGTGAGGGCCCATTGATCTTTTATTACACCATTAAGTCAATGTGCTCCACTCATAAACAGCTTGAGATTAAATGAGCCCCTTTGAAGGGTTTATGTGTATGTCTGCATGTCTGTGAACTCTCAGCCTGCCAACAAAAATTGAAAACTGGGCGGCTGTAGGGAGCCAAGTACTGCCTAGAGCAGTCTGTAGTATGTGGCCAGTATAAATCCATTTTACATCAGTAAGTTATTGGTATTGAAGGTGATTCATTCCATCGTAAGAAGAGTGATGCCTTGGTAAATGAAGATATTTATTTACTGTGGCAGTCATTTAGCAGCAGTTAACCTGATGCTGTTAACCTACTGATTTTCCCTAAAGCTTATATTTCCTTTACATATGATGATGATAGTCAGTGGTTTGGCTTCAGTGTAGAAACACAGGAGAGTTTCTCATGCATCCAGAGTTTCACAAAATAACATCATGGCATTCATATTTCAATGTATTATTATTTTTTTCACAGTTATTGAGGTCAGGGTCGTGGTGGGAGGCTGTAGCTTATTCCAGCTGTCATAGGACAAAGGGTACATCTTGGGTAGGCCACCGCTCCATCATCGGCTGATTAAAACATCTGAGTGAAAATTAAACACACACAGAAACACACACACTGGAGTTCAAATTTAGAAACATGGGAGGCAAATGCTGGATGTGTTTCTAACTCACTGACCATTGCTTGCAAGACCTCCTGCTTCACCAGGGACATGTGATGTATTTCTGCACAGAATCCGCTCTGGTCCAACAACACCACAAGTTCACCTGTCTTTTGGAGGTCATTTATGCAAGAGTCTCTGTGTTCAGCAGGTGATGTTTCCACATGGAACAAGCACCATAACAATATCATGTCAAAAAGAGTTTATTAATACTTACCAGCTCAGACCTACTGCTTATGGTGTTGATATAGTTTTTAATACATAATTTCCTGACATCATAAACACTGAATATTCTGTCTAGGTGTAGTGATAATTTAACAGTCACTTAACGTCCTGGAGGATGGGCTTTGTTTATTTTCTAACTGCTGCTACATGTTATTAGCTACTTTCACGGGACTCTATGCACTCCTGTGAAAATTAACTACACGTCATGATTTAGTATCTTGTAGAACCACTTTTAGCACTTGGAATAATTGTTGTTTTGGAGGAATTTTGGCCCCCTCTTCTTCACAACAATGCTTCAGTTCATTGAGGTTTGCAGTTGTTTGTTTATGCACCACAGCATTGAGGTCTAGACTTTGACTGTGCCACTGCAGCACCTTGTTTCTTTCATTTTCAGGTGGTCTGTTGTAGATTTTCTGCTGTGCTTGGGAATCACTGTCCTGTTGCATGATCCAGTTTCAGTAAAGCTTCAGCTATAGGACAGATGGCCTCACATTTGAGTCTAGAATACTTTGGCATAAAGAGGAGTTCATGATTAGCTCAGTAACGGCTGTGTGCCCAGGTCCTAATTGTACTGTCATGAAACTTAAGATCTAAAATGCTAACTGAGGTCTGTAAAGTCTGAGATGTAGCGCTTTTGTTTTTTCCAGTTCCACTGAGCATTGCAAAGTCTGACCTCTCGATGAATTTTCTAGGGATGTTTGTTTTTAATAATCTTCCTGGGAAGATTTAGGGATTGTGTTAAGACACATCTGAATGCTCCTAAACAGCAAACTGTCACAACTTCTGGTTTCATAGAGGAGGTCACACTTGATGATGATCACCTATTCAAGTGCATATAGAAGAAATCTGGTGATACTTAACCTCTTGAGGCCTGTAGAAGCAGTAATGGTTTACTTAGTTTTTCCGTTGTGCACAGAACTGCATAAAGTCCTCTTCCACTTTCTTTTTCACATGACTGTAAAGGTCTAAGATATAGAAAAACACAGATTGTACACTGAGTCTCTGAGTCAGAAATAATCAATTGTTATGAATAATGAATTAAGTTACCACTCCTTTGCCATGTGCATATAAGCACACAACTCACTTGCTTTGGGGATACACATATGGATTCTGTAAGGGAGCCCATAAAGCAGCAAGGAAAGACTTCTACAAACAGCCTGAAGCATGAAATTCAACTAGAATTAAATTATGGTTTGTGACATTACCAACCTTAAACATGCAAACTGACGTTTTGAGTTCAGTCTGATGTGTATGGACATGTGTTCACACTGAAATGTGGGGGAAAAAAAACATCAGGTTTCGATTCAGATTTGTTATGAATGTAGAAAAAAGACCCCTATTTGATATTAGACCAATGTTTAGTGAGAATTGTTTAGATACGAATGATGACTGGCTCCATCTGAAGCTTTGCCATCTGAACTGTTACAGTGGTTGCTGCTATGTTACATGATAATTGTATACTATACAGAAGTCTAATTACAGTGCCCGTGTCAGCAAATGAGTAATTACTGGGTCAAAGCTATAATGCCGAAAGAGAGGGTGAAGTTCAGCATTGGCAAAGGTTTAAATACTCTTTATGTTGGTTTCAAGAATTTCTCATTTGGCTAAAACAATAAAAAAAAACCAAAATGTTTATACAAGAACCTCTCTAATGACCTTTATTAGTGCAATAAGTATCAGGTAATAATAGTTTTTTCAGTCAGAGGTTCCAGTAATTGTCAGCCTTTCCTGTTGGTTAACTGCATAGGAAGAAACTAGAGACCACGCCGGCCGCTGATCTGTGAAAACGCCTCTCGGCTATATTGTTACACCCACTGAAATTCCCTCTCAGTTACACAGCAAAGGGCTGTAGCACGTACTGTCTGCTTAGGATCCACAATATATAGAAACACATACACAAACTGAGCACTTACCTTGTGCATACACAGCAAGAAATGTTGATGTCTTCTCCAGTGAAATGTAATGAGACCGTAGTGGATGTCCTGATGATGTTGGGAGCTTGTGGTTTGTTGTTTTGTCTCCTTCTTCACATTGTTTAGCACAAAATGACTTTTCCACTGATTATATAATTATATTCCCATCACTGCAAATTGGCTCACCACTGTCTGGAACTGAATAACTTCCCTAGCAGCCGTGTGTGAAGACAAACAGACACACACAGCACAACCAAGCACACGTATACACACACAAACAGGTAAAAAAGGAGGGCGCTCAGACTGAATGAAAAACGTGCTGACTGAAAAAAACATGTTTTGGTAGAGGAACAAAACAGAGAAAAAGAGCAGATGACAGATAAAGAAAAATGTGTTCTCTTAAAGCGGAAAACCAAAAATAGAAATAAAAACAGACATATAGAATTCTGTTTTGTATGCCTTACTGTTTCCAATGGCCCACTTTTCCTGTCTCTCACCATTCTGTCCACAGTGTGTAACTGTGATTTAGCACAATCTGGCTTCTTCCAGAAGAAGGGCGAATACATCTGTACAGCAGACTATCAGCGTTTGTATGGTACACGCTGTGACCGCTGTGACACCTTCATCACGGGAGAAGTGGTCTCTGCTCTGGGACGCACGTACCACCCCAAGTGCTTTGTCTGCAGTGTTTGCAGGTATGTATATTCCTTCTCAAAACACACACACAATACTATATACAAGTATGTATTCTGATGATGTTTATGTGCACCCAAAAGACTAAAGAAGAGCGCAAGAACTTTATTCTGAAATATGAATTTTAGGTCAAGTGATTGATGACTTCCGTCCATCTGTCCACAAAAAGTCATAACAATTGCTCGTCGTCCTACAGTAGTGGTCAGAATTTTATCTGACCGATCGTGGCTCAAGAGTTGGCAATTTGTCTTGTAATCGGAAGGTGTCTGGTTTGAGCCCTGGCTCCGACAGTCTCGTCGTTGTGTCCTTGGGCAAGACACTTCACCCGTTGCCTACTGGTGGTGGTCGGAGGGCCCGGCAGCCTCGCCTCTGTCAGCGCACACCAGGGCAGCTGTGGCTACAATGTAGCTTGCCATCACCTGTGTGTGAATGTGTGTGTGAATGACTGAATATAGTGTAAAGCGCTTTGGGGTCCTTAGGGACTAAGAAAAGTGCTATACAAATACAGGCCATTTACCATTTAAGGGGCCTTCACCCACAGTTTGCCCAAGGTCAAGGTCACTTTCATCATTTGCACACAATTTGTCACTCCTCCTAGAGTATTAGTGTATTTTTGGCAAAACATGGACACAGTGATCACCTAATGGCCCTTATATTTGGCCACTTTGGAAGATGTAAAGATGATACAGAGTCTCTTTTTGCTCTGCTTTGGTTTCCACCGATTCAAAATGACATAACAATGTCTGGCTCATTACCGGCAAAATGCTGTCCTCATCTGCTAGGCAATGTTAACCAGTTATTGCAAAACAGAAAATGTATTATCACTTATGTGGATATTTTCCATCGACTTTATTGCGTAACATTTTATTTGATTGTATTTGATGGCTTGGGCCCCAGGAAGACCAACCACTGTTGTGGAAGCTAATGGGGTTCCTTATAAATAAACAAATTTCATGTGATTAAAAGTTGCCTATGCAACAGTTACCTTAGTTATTTTGGATTAGCTTGGAATTGGATATGTATGATTATAACAAATAAACAGTATAATATTGTTATTGGTAGCTACTATTTGCAGCATGCACTCAGCATGCTGCTTTATGTATTGCACAAAAGATATATGAGACCTACCGGTTGACTTCTTTAGAGTATCTGTGCTTTTCTCAGTCTATTCTGTGAGACTTCATTAGTAATTTGTTAGAGAACAGCATGATAGAGACAACGGGAAATAGCAAACAGATTGTGGAGGCACTGAATAAGAAACGCATGACTGTTTTTTACTTTTCGGCTATGAGTCACTATTTTCAGCCTCAAGACCTGAAGTGACGCAGCAAAAGTTGCATCTTTAAAAACAAGAATTGGCTAATTGACTGACTTTTTTCATGGAGGATTTAATAATTAACTCATGATTCATCTTCTGAATGTCAGCAAATGTGTGATTGGAAAGCTCAAGTGTAGGAAAGATAGAAAGCTGACCTGGTGTATCGTACATTTAGGTTTAGTAAAAGTAGGTCATCTCTCCTATGAACTCCATCAGTGTTCATGTGAAGCTCCTTCAGAATGAAATCTCAGCATCAATGTTGGCTCCTTTCTTTATTTTATTTGACCGTGTCCCTCGCTTTCGCTTCAGAGCATGCTGCATATATGGGATAACCTGTCTCTCATTTGCACCCTCTCACTTGCTGACTGGTTTTTAATGTGTTGTTTACATTATAAGGATCTTTACTAACAGTATCCAGAGTAAATCATATTGTAGTGGTTTACACATTCCCCTAACAAGCGAAAGATCCCTGCTTTGATCCTGGGAGAAGACACAAATCCCTTGCGGGGTTGCGTTCGGAAGGGCATCAGGGCGTAAAAAATCTGACAAATCAAACATGCAGAGTTACCTGCTGTGGCGCCTCCTTGTGAATAAGCGAGCAGCCTTTTAGCTTACTTATAGTATCGTCTTCCAGTAGAGTAGAGATTGTTGTCGGGTATCTGCTTGACATTGCCTGATAAACACACATTCTGACCCAGCAGCTGTGGGCAAAAGACAAAAAACAACCCCCCCTACCCCCTTCCAAAAAACTGAAATGATACCAGCAGGACAGAGACAGGCAGTGGAGCAGCGCTGGCAGTGACAGTGATGTGTGTGTATGTGTTGTCAGTGTATGTGGAGTAAACTAGAAGAGACAGCAAGAAGCCAAAGGGTGAATCTCTTCTTTCGTGCTCCGTCTGCCCCCTGTCACATTGCTGACTGTTCCATCTTGTATGTCCTTTCTTCCCCTCATCTTTCACTCCTGTCTTCCTTCTGGACGCACCTCCTTTGCTCTTGCTTCTTCTTCGTCATTCGCATTATTCACAAATAATAATCTTTGCGCTCTTTAATCATCAGCCACATCGCCCTCTCTTCCTTTGTCTCCTCATCATTATTCCACTTTGACTTCTTTGTCATCACTGCTTCAGCTTTAATGGAGTCCGAATGCAAGTTTCACTTTTACACGTGAACGTATTTTTAACGCAGTGGTGATCAAAGCAAGAGGACATACCCCTAAAGCCAGAAATAGCTTTACTTTTTTGGCCAGTTAAGAAAAAGAAAGCATTAAATATGTAAACAGAGTAAATTTTTAAAGCGCTGCAAAGGGCTGACAAGGCAAGAGTGTCTTGAGGGAGTGAGAGCAACACACAGGTAAAGACAAGGTCACAAATGCGCGGAGATGCTTTTCTGCACCATCACAGCATTTCTGGTGCTTCGTTCTGCTGAACTATACAATGTGAATGCTATGTTCAGACATGTAGAAGAGATTTAGTCTGTCGTGCTTGGAGCTGGACACAAATATTCACATGGACACATGTCTGAATTTTAAAATATGCAGTTAACCTCTGGAACAGCCGAAGAGTGACATTCAAAATAAAGCCTTAGTGAAATCACTTTCCAGCAGCTTGTGTTTACCATAGCTTTTGTTGCATAATTTGTGTATCTGCAGCTCAGCTCTCATGTTTGGATGGTGCCCTTTTGTGAATAAAATAAATGCACAGAGGAGCAAGTCTCGAATATGTTGTTAGCAAAGACACACAGAGAGAGAAGACTTTATACATGGTCTGAGCACCTTTAAGTGACTACATGGATGTGCTGCACTCATGTGTGCTGACTGGGGCCTCTACTGGAGACTCAAGCCTCCCTCTGGGTCTTGGCTCCGGCTCCAGGGCTCGGTGGGGGAGTAAAAGGATTAGTGCCATCTATGTTTTTTACACAGCCTTCTCTAAGCCTTTTAGCTCCCCATTCATTCTCATATCGTCCCTGGTCATAAGGAAATCAATCTGTCTCCTTGGAAAGGAGAGGAAAGCAAGTCAAAACAGTGCATCGTGATGTGGCAAATTTGATTTCATTGGTGTTGCCTGGTTGTCATATTCTCCGCCTGTCAGCAGGCACATGTTTTTGCTCTTCTTTCTTTCTTTGAAGCCTTGAAAATGGTGACCTGGTGGCGTCAGTGTAGGGAGGGCAAGCTGGATGGCTAGACTGAGAGAGCAATAGGCAATTAAAATTAGTATGCGCTCCACAAAGTCTCCCTAATAAGTTTTTATTCTCACTGAGAGAGCCAGTTTTCCTTTCAGAAGCCTGTCGCATTATCGCTTCTTTAATCACAGAGCAGCCAGGTGCTCCTGTAACAATCAGCATCCTATTAACTCATCATCACAACAGTTTGCAAATGTATTTTCAGTTTCATAGAGGATGTCGGACCGCATTCAGCTTGTGTCAGCAGGATTATGGCCTGTCTGTCACCGAATCATGTCTCTGCCAGCACCCATTTGTTATTTCAATGAATACAGTAGACTTGGATGTAAACACAGAATTACTGCAGGCGTTTTAACGCCCATTGTGCTCCGCTTTCTAATTCTCTTGTCTGTCTTTTTTTTTGCCTCCTCAGTAAACCCTTTCCAATTGGAGACAGGGTGACGTTCAGTGGAAAGGACTGCGTGTGCCAGCAGTGCTCCCACACACTTGTCAAGTCAAATGAACCGATCAAGATCCACGGGCCCAGCCGTAAGTCCAGCGCCCACCCCGCTCTGTCCGTTCTGTTTAGGGCCACCAGGCGCTACGGTGCGCTAAAGCTAATGCGACATGTCCACGAAGCCTACTTTGCTCATTTAGCTAATCATGTGTCTGTCAAATCAGCGGAGTGACCTGCCGCGTTGATCTGCCAGCTGAGAATTATGCAACACAAACAGACACATACTCCACCTGCCAATTTCCAACATACAGGGTTTAGTGGTTTTGTTCACTGCATGCTCACAGTTGTTTATTAACAGGAATCATGAGCCTGCTACCATGTGTGTTACTAGATCTTTGACTGCATATAAAAAATGAATCTAGCCTTAGTGATGTTGGGTTTGTGACTGTTTTAAAGACTCATTAAGTTAATGTCAAAGTGCTTTAATCTCACATTCTATCTGAAGGGCACCAGATGGCGATAGCTATAACTACAAAAAGACTTCCAGTCCTATTGAACTGTGTCTTGTGAACAAGCTCTTGCTGAGTCAGTCACTCATTTCGAGTCAGATTGAATAAAAAATGTGGTCTGTTTTTTAATCTCAGTCATACTGTGTTTTAAAATTTAGGATTATCTTTGGTAGGAAACCACTAATGGCTAATGGTTTGTCATGGTTTGAGCAAGCAGTTAGACCAAGCTGGCAAAGGTGTTAACGCTCATCTAGATGCTTCATAACAGAATTTTCGAAACCTACAGGTGATGTCACCTGCATCCATCTTATTTTACAGTCTATGATAAAATCTGAGGATGAATGACAGGAAGTAGAGACTAAAGTTTTTTTTAAGATGGTTGGTTTATTCCTGGTACCAGAGCTGGATGATCTACATGCAGTAGCAGAGAGGAGTTGGTGTTTAAGCTCTGTCTTGGAAGTCTCCCACAGTCTGCACAGTCATCCTGCTGGCAAGAGTAGCCCACTCAGAAAAAGTCCTAATAATGACAGAATATTTCAGCGAAGGTCACAGAGAGCTCCTCCTTCCTCAGTTCATTCAGATATGCGTAATTCCTCCTTCTGCAAATCCTCCACAACTGTTATGCAGGAATTTCCCAGAGGGATTATTAGTAAAGTTATTTTTCTCCTTCTCGTTATTTAAAATGACAAATTACTATGATACAGCAGCAGGATAGTGACTGATAGTGAATCATTTGTTAAGCATAGCATACAGACAGCAGTCTGCTGCTCAGTGGCTGTGCAGTAACAACAGATGGCGTATAGGCAGTGAACAACAGTCCTCCCCAAATTGCTCCATTCAGCAGAATAAAAATCGAACAGCTCCCCAGGTACATGTTCATCACTCTGTCTTATGAGGATGCAGTGTGTGTGGACGGAATAGGGCACACGCACTAATGCACTGCCTCATTTTGCATAACGATCGGGATATTTAAGAAGGTAAATAAATGCTTAGTTTGCAGAATTCTTAGAGGGAAAAAAAGAAAAAAAAAACAGAGCTAAGTAATTATTAAAGTTTTCTCATGCATACACCAGTGGAAGCAAAATATAAAGAAATGAGGGGCGACATAAGATTTTTTACACAGTGCTGTAATTAACCGCGGATTCGAATTCATTTCATTCAAGATTTTAACGTGATATATTACAGTGGGGTAAGAGCTTAGTGTGTATGACATGAATCCAACTTCCCCAGTTTTGTTGGGCACCTTTGTTGCGTATCAGCCCCCTCGCCTACTCCTTTCATTTTCTTTTCACACTACCCACACAATAACAAACACACCACCTTACATGATTGATGAGGCTATATGTTTTGGGTCATAAGCAGTTACTTTTTTAAAAGTTTTTTTGTGGCAATTTCTGCACTTTGAGAAATGTGTATTCACACACGTTCACCAAAAAACAAATTATATATATAAAAAATGAAATTAAAACTGAATGTATTTTAAGGTCTGAGCCAGGTGCGCATGGCTAAATAAGGCAAGTTGTGTGAAGAAGAGCCATACCATTTACCATTTAAAAAACTGCTTTGACATCACAGATAAAGCCGTGGTGAGCAGCAACATTCCTGCATTCTTTATTGTACATTGTTATGCGTCCATAGCCGGCTGCTCTTTATCACAAACATTGGTACGTAATTTTAGATGATCTAATACCTATTTCATCCAGTGGCTGAAATCAGAAGTGTATAATGACTCAGTAGAAGAACGGTCTGGGACTAAAATCCCAGCCCTTTTACACTCAGCACAATCACCACTAAATCACTTTTTAAGATTGATTTGGACGCCAGAAACCCAGCCTGCACTGTACACTGCAGTTTTTCACTACAAAACACAATTTGTCTTGGCTGACGAAGCAGACTGGAGTGGTCCCTAGAGTGACTTACTCTCATGTGCAACAGAGCGGGTCAAAAAGGTTAAGCTAAAACCAAGCCTCCATCTAGTACAAACAGACAGAGGGCTGACCCTTTTTTAAGCCTCCCGACGCTCCTGTTGGTCAGTAACACCTGCTGAAGCATCTTTCTGAGGGCAAAACCGATGTATGTGCTCTATGCTTGTATAATCAGCAATTAAGCTAATGTTGCATTCCTTACTTATCGGCTTGCCCGTATCTCTTAGTTTAACTAGTGATAGAAATTTTAATAAAAACTTTTAATTTAACAATTTTGCCTCCCTGTCTCCTTTTTTTTTAACACGGACACTTTTTGTTACTTTCCCACATCCCCTGGACCTCTTAGGGGAGTGTAAAAAGCACAGTAGGTTTTATTTAAGGTGGTGGCAGTGATGAAAACTGCACTTAGTAGCTCAGAAAGTGCTTAAAGATGTACACTTAGTCCTTGGGCTCATTTTGCCTTTCTCTGTCTCTTACAATTTCTACCACTCCACAACATTTTAACATCTTATCTCTCTGCGTCCCTCTTTCTTTCCCTCCCTTTCCCTTTTCTTTTTTTTCTCCAGACTGCGCTGGATGTGGAGCCGAGATCAAGCAGGGTCAGTCTCTCCTGGCACTTGACAAACAGTGGCACGTCAGCTGCTTCAGATGTCGGACGTGCAATATGGTCCTCACTGGAGAGTACATCAGCAAGTGAGTGTGTAAAGGGAAGGAAAACAGAGAGAAACAAAATGCCCAACAACTGCTCTGTCCTCCTTTATCTGCGGTTTCCCCAAGACAAGGCAAATTGTGTCGTTGACACTCTACAAGCAAGTTTCTTTTATATGTTCTATGTTGCAGGGATGGAGTGCCATACTGTGAGGCAGATTACCACGCCCAGTATGGGGTGAAATGTGAGACCTGCAGCAGATACATCAGTGGAAGGGTTTTGGAGGTGAGAACGGAACCAGATGTCAACATTAGATGATCCCACCGCAGCAGCAGCACAGAAATCCAAATTGGAGTGAACCGCGGAGCGTAATCAGCGTTATCGTAATTGAACGGCCGCGTCGCACGTCCTCTGCGGAGTTTAAGCCCGGCTGCGCTTCAGGGAGTGACCGACTTAAGATTGAGGGGGTGATAAAACATTTTGTGAAGCTTTACTAAACCAAAACCAATTGAGCTGCACCACGTCGAGCGCGCCCGACAGAACATCCGAGCAGATTGACTGTTTCTACTTGAGGTCAAAGAGAACACAAACCACCCTCCACTCTGAGGAGGTTAAAAAAAAAACTAGACTGAGGCACAACTTTGTGAAAAGAACGGAGACAAAAAGGGAGTTTAAAAAAAAAGATCAGAGGCTAAAAAGTGAAGGGTGATGTCAGAGGGAGACACGGAAAGCGGGATTAAAAATGCACAGAGTGAAGCAGTTTTTTAAGAGATTGCAGAAGGAGTCAGCAGCAAAGGATCTACAGCAAGGAGTTAGGAGTTGGGCTTAAGAAAGAAGTGAAGGGAGAGTAATGAGGAGAGCAGGGCTGGAAATAATGAAAGTGATAAAGTGCAGATGCTAATTAAATGTTTTGGAAGAGTCTCTGGTGGGCGTCTTGCGTCTGAGGGGACTTGAGGAAAGGGAGCAGATGTAGTAAAACTTTGTCAGACGCACACACAAACACACACATGCACATACAGGGTCTTGTTGTCCCTTTGCTCCTTCGCCTGTCAGAATAGCTGGTGTAAAGTGCTTTGTTCCTGACTGTCAGCCTCTCTAGGCTATTTATAGACATGGGGACATGTCAGCCTTCATGCTGCAAGTCTCTCTCTCACTTTCTTTTCCCACTGCATCTGTGTCGTTTGTTCTCTGAACATGTGTATCTGCGCTCGCTTGCATTCGGTCTTCTGTCAGTTTCTGATCACATAATGATGCACTTCTTTAAGATGCAGCGTGCATCGAGACTGACTCAGGGGAAATCTCATGCAGAGGTTTGTAGCCCTACACATGCAAAATGCAGTTCATTAAGGATAAGAAAAACTTAGGAGCTGATTATTGGCACATTGACAGATACCAATAAGTCGCACAGACGTCTGTTTAAAAGTATTGTTTTCATTTATGCTGTCCGACGTCAAACACTCGGATTAATCTCTCTGCATCTGTGTCGATAATTAGACTTTTTTTCCCCCACGACGCAGCGCTTCCTTTTAACTTAACACAGCCAAAGGTTGTTAGTTTAATGAGTAGTTATATAGAAGATGGAGGAGGGGAGACATAAAGGGGGAAAGTGGAGGGTGGAGGATCATAAAACCGTCTTTCTTATGTTTCACTTAATGTCTCAGTTTGGCAATAAATTTAGCAGCCTGTTAGTGCCACCACAGAGGTTCCTCATTTGAGATGGTAACAGCATTTGTTTAACTGATACCGTTTGGCCACCGATAGTAAACGCTCCACTGCTTGGAAAACAGACAGAAGTGCTGCATCCTCCCCCTTTCGTAGTAACCTGAGCAGATAGGGAGCGCGGTTAAGATGTGTCTCGGAAACAGCTGAGCGTCTTGCTGCACAGTGGGAGTTCTTGGAGGGAGCTCGCTCATCAGGTGCAACCGATTTCTTGGAAATCCAGTAAAAACGTGCGATTTACAGTATGAACACCAGGAAGATTCAGTGCAGCTTGAAATGATATAAAGTACCTCACCGTGCACACAAACACACCCACTTTAACTTGCATGCCGTGGGAGTTCAGCTGACACAGTTCAGGTCTCCTCGTCTGCAGTGCCTCTATAAATAGAAATTCTCGAATGGTGCGTTTAGGGAAGGCAGAGGTGATGGGATGGGGCCACGCCTCGGCCATCAGCCCCGCAGGGTTGCATGTGAGAAACATCAGGAGTGTGATCACTTTTCTGTGTCCATTTCAGCTGCGCCGTGTGCTTGGATTTATCCCCTCGAGGCACCTTGCATGTTCAAGGGCATATTTCACACTCACATGTCCTTCACTTACATGATTCTGTATTGTACATACACATGCATACACATGCTTCCTCATGTGACTGACCTACGGGGATCTTTGCTCTAATTATGTCATAGGGAGAGAATGGGTGGTTTCTAGCATGCTGATGAAACAGCTTCAGGCAATCCACTGGTCTCCTAATATTTTCTCAGGCTACCGGTGGCCAAATAAAGCGCATAAAAAACATATGGAAACAGTGACCTGCTCTGCTAGGCGGGGTGCAATTTTTAGATTAGCCCTCAATCTGTGAAAATCCTTGTGGCGATGATTTACGTTCAGCCACGTCCTCTCCTCATCACACAGGCAGGAGGGAAACACTACCATCCAACCTGCGCTCGGTGCGCCCGCTGCAACATGATGTTCAAAGAGGGCGAGGAAATGTACCTGACAGGTCGAGTATTCACACATATGCATGTTTTAGATTGTGCTCACCAATTTTAGAAAACGCACGGCATGCAGGGAACACCCAGCAACTGTGTGACTGCCCTCTTTCTCTTGCTCCTCAGGATGCGAGGTGTGGCACCCGTTATGCAAGCAAGCGGCAAGAGCAGAGAGGAGACTCAGGGTGAGCTGGACTTTCAATTCAGTCTTTGTGTTTACGGAGCACTAGTTGAAACAGTCCTAAGAGCATTTGACAGTGGTACAGAGAGAAGCCCACAGATATAGAGTGAAACTTCCTCACTATGTGAATTAACTCCCTCTTTGTCTGATTCTAACCCACAGCACAGACGCCTGTCCGAGGCCTCCATCTCTCCCCCGGGCTCCTCAATAGGCTCTCCCAGTAGAGTTATATGTGTAAGTAACCTGTGACTCTGCAGCTTTTAGTCACTTTTGGCTGCCACACTGCCACCGAGCCTACCCTTGAAGCACCTTTGCTACACTAGAATCACGAGCACTATGCTTAGGCTTGAACAGTCAAGCACAAAATAAAAGAGGCTGCTCGCTCCCTTGGCCTGTTCACTTTGTCTGTGTCCTTAACCTCTGTTGTCACTGCTGATGTGCCAGACATCCCATTAGATTTGAAATAAAACAACTGCGGTGCGACTGAACTCCTGTCGTTTAGTCTCAAGGGGTTGAACTGCATTGCTTCATTTATTGTTATACACATTCCCATGTTTTCAGGGGGCGGTTCAAAAGTTCAAATTCATATAAGCATTTTATAAACTGATTATTTTAATGCTTTAATGACAAAAAACTGTTTTGGCTGCAAGGACCGCCTGAAGTCTGGAACTTAAGAACTGCCAAAACAATGGGTTTGCTCCTTTTGCAAAGCTTTGTCGGTCCTTTACTGAATCTCTCTCTTCAGTTTTATTTCAAATCAAATGGCAAAATTGTGGAAACAATGTGTCACTGTCTTCAACCTGACTGGATATTTCATGCTCATTTTCAATATTCAATGACCAAAAAACACTCTACTCATTATACACTAAGTAAAAAAATTAAAGGAACACTTGTTAATCGGAGTGTAGCATCAAGTCAGTTAAACCTCTGTGATATTGATCTGCTCAGTTAAATATCAGAGGGGGTTGGTAATCAGTTTTAGCTGCTTTAGTGTTAATGAAATTAACAACTAGAGTGGCAACCCTCAAAACAGGAATGGTTTTACAGCTGGAGGACAATGACATTTTTTTTTTTGTCATCTGCTTTCTCACTGTTTTGCATTTGGTTATGGTCAGTGCCACTAGGGGTAGCATGAGGCGATTTCTGGACCCTACAGTGGTTGCATCTCAATATGTACCAGAAAGTTTGCTGTGTCTCCCAGCACAGTCTCAAGAGCATGGACAAGTTCCAGGACAGAGTTACTGTAGGAAAGCTGGACAGGGCCACAGAAGGTCCTTAACCCATCAGGAGGGCTGATATCTGCTGGTTTGTGCAAGGAGGAACAGGATGAGCACTTTCAAAGCTGCAAAATGACCTGCAGCATGGCACTGGTGTGAATGTCTGATCTAAAGACTGTCCAGGAGCTCAGTGATGCCCTGATGGTGCCTTCCAGATCTGCAAGGAGATCCTCCGGGCACCATCTGTCATGTTATTAGCAGCCTGCCCCAACATACAAACCATACAAACTACTAAGTGCCCCTTTGACTCACTGGAATATAATTTAATCAAATTGGACTAGCCTGTTGCATCATTTTTTAACTTTGATTCTCAGGGCGTCTTTGAATTCGGCCCTCTGTAGATTGATAATTGTCATTTCCATTAAACGATGTGGCATCCTTTCGTTTCTAACACATTACAGAGTCCATGTTGGTTTAGATATCCAGCATGATCTCCCCCTCCAATCTAATGTGTTGTCAAAGTGTTCCTTTAAGTTTTTTGAGCAGTGTTTATGCTGAAAACCACATCAGGGTGTCAGCCAGGCCTTATTTTTTGTTTAGTGCTTAGCAGTTGCACTTGTAAGTCCTGCCTTTTTGGCTGTCTGAATTGTTGCTGTGTATCACTGCAGTATTAGCATGTCAGGGGTTATCTGCATGCAAGCAGGAGTCACTGCTCCTTGCTCAGCCCTGCCCTGCCCTGCTCTCTTCTCATAATCAATGACCTTTCTGTTTAAGGTGATGGATGAGGGGGAAATGCAGTGTAAGCACGCTTGTCATCCATACTGTCTCCACGCTTCCTCCCTCTCTTTCTCTCTCCTGCTGTCTGTGCTTCCTCTGCTTTCTCTCTGACATATGCTGATATCCTGAAAGTCAACAGCTTATAGTGCTGTCAGCTCCTGCAGCGTGTTCGTTTGTACCTGTGTGTTCCTCATCAAGTTTTCTCTGCCCCCCCCTCTACGGCTCTCACTGTTTCACGATCTGCTTGCTATCACTGGTGAAGTTCTCATTCATTGTCCATGTGGTCGATGTCAGGTCTTGTTGCTGTAGCGCTGTCTTTTGGTGGGTGTATGTGTGTCCTCTCTCCAGGCCAGAGTGGAGAATGAGATCCTAGATTATAAGGACCTAGCTGCCCTGCCAAAGGTCAAAGCCATATATGAGGTCCAACAGCCAGACCTCATATCCTCCTCATACCAGCCGTACCACAGATACATCTCTGATGACAGACTAGACACTTACAGCTATGGGGAGGTACTGCAGCCACACACTCCAGGTCAAACACAGCGTTGCACTCGTCACTCGTCTGTTTTCAGGAAGATCAAAAGTCGGTGTCATGCAGTTTGATTGGGCATATTTTGTTAGTTTTCGATTTTTTTTTTCTGTTTTTGAAAAATAATCCCAGAAATTATTGATATTTGTTTGGTATTTGACTGATGTGATGTTTACAGAAGTACTTTTAAAGGTGAAAAACAATCAAACTGTCTTTTGTGGATGAGTGAACTGTTTAAAACATTTGACCTAATTTTTTTTACATAGCAGCCAGTTATTTGTAGTGCAAATGTGCAATCAAATGTAAACATACTTACAGGAAATTATGTTTTCATGATTAAAATTTTGATTATATTTCATGCCACTCTCACATCTGTCTTCTCAAGAAGAAAGAGCTTGCAGGTGATCGGTTTGGGTTTTAAACAGCAAACCTTGCAAGCTTCAACCAAGAAATAATGCATGCTAACCCTCATTTGGATTTTGCAGTCTAAAAAGAAGATAAATAGCCACTTTCTCAGACAATGGATTAAACCTGGTCTTTGAAAAAACAGAAAAGAAAAATTAAACTGAAAGTAGTCTAGACTCCGTGTCTGGGAAACTGAGCAATAAAGTTTTAATCAGTCAGCTTTTGAGGTATGGAAGAGGATTACAGCCACAGATTCAGTTCAGCATTTTGAGAAAAAAATCACAATTTACAATTTTTTTTCCATCCTGACATTTTTCTCAGAATTATTACTTTAGTCCTACAATCTCATTTTTGTTTCCTACATTTGTATTCTGAAAACAAAGTCATGAAGCCCTATTTTCTTTTTTCTTACTTTCTTTTCTTTAGCCCCTCTTCTTCAGAGTGGTTATCTAAGAAACTGAATGAGTTGATTTCGTTAAAATTTTAAACTTTAATTGTCTTTTCCTGTCTCCCCTGCAGTCACTTGGGACTCTCTCTCCCTATTCTCAGGTAAACACTCTGAACGTAGCAGTGAATGTAGTACAAGTTCACCCAAGTGAGCTGTTGTCATTTCGGTGAGCTGTGTGTCTGTTTGCTCGTCTTTCACCTGACTTGCTTTGTTTGTCCCTTTTAGGACTATGACAGCCTAGATATAAAGCAAAGGCGGTGCTCCAGTCCCGGCTACATCGACTCACCAACTTATAGTCGCCAAGGCATGTCACCCATCATGCCTCGCTCTCCACAGCACTATGGCTACCCTGGTAAGATGTCTGTTTTAGAAAGTTTGGAAACCAGCTGCTGGAAACTTCATTAAGTCACATAACAACTAAGTAATAATCTTTTAATTAGAAGCTCCTGTAGAAGTTGTAGCCACATAGTTAGCATAAAGACAATGAATAAACTCAAATGTGTCGTCCAACTAGTTGCACAAAAGCAAAATGTCAAACTATTCCTTTTACTAGAGATCAAAGTGTTTGTCATTTCCATCTGTCATTACCAGTTAAGACAAATAGCCCCTAATATATTTGTACTGGTGACAAATATCTGCCACAGTAGCTGCTTGACTGTCACCTTTGCTGCAGTTGCTCCTTGGCTATCATTTCATTTAACTCTTACACATGTGCATTGAGGCTGTAATTACTCATTACAGTTCTAAACAGCCCTCTATGCTGCTGATAAGTCAATAACCTTTGTTGTTACACAAGTAGAAAGGTTACTGAGTGTCACCTTGTAATTTTAAACACACTTTTGAGTTGTTTGGCTTTCATCTGCATGTGCTGATGCCTTCCTTCATGCTCGTGTTTCCTTCGCTGTGATTGGGCCATGGCTGGCTGCAGGCTCTGAGAGTGGCAGGAGTTCACCTTATTATAGCCAAGACGGGCGACCAAGCACACCCACCACAAACCAGCCCCCTAAACATTTTCATGTACCAGGTAGGACTCCTCATCTCCTCACATTCACACTACTCTCAGATTTATTTATTTCTTTTTTCACTTCACAGAGAAGATTTCATCAGCCATTATTCACTGAAGGAAGTCCTTTAAAAAAGGTCATATTAAGTTCCTCAGGAGTGAGCGTGTGTGAAAATGTGAAAGTTGTATATTTATACAACACATAATCAATCTGGCATATTCTTCCCCTCATACTGCATATTTACTTTTCTTTACAATCATCCCTCCTACCTCGCCTGGCAGTAGTTCGCATCCTCTCCTCCTTTACTCCTCCATGTTTCACGTCTTCATCTCCTCTTTCTCTCCTCAGCCACAGGGGATCCCAACATCTACAGGAAGCCTCCCATCTATAAGAGAACGGGTACAGTGCAGTTAGTCCTGCCTTAGCCTGCCTGTCCTTCTGTCAGTTTTAGTCATGCTTTGTTTAACCCGATGTAGATGTGTTTACCGGCCTCTCGCCATTCAGCTTCGAGTAGTGTCGATGTTCCAGCTGTTCAGTGAAACCGAAGCCTGCACAAACAAAAACAGCAACGATTAGAAGTGCTAGAAAAAGCACAAAAGGGATAGAGTTTTGACTTGCGCGGCTCGTTCCAAAGTTGAGGAAGGAGATCAGTCAGACTTCTCGCATTAGCAGCACTGAGTGAATATAAAAGAGCGATGTTTTAGTGTGCATGCCACAAGCATATGAATATGCCTGCTACCGCGCGCAGCTCCCGACAGGTTCTTGTTGGCAAATAGTGCTGGAACGGGCCATGAATGAAGTGAAGGTTGCTCAGGCGTGAGAAGCGTTGAGTACAGAGGGCTCTGAGGACAACACAGTTCACCAGAATAGAACAGAACAATGGAACAAAGCGCACTGGAAAAACTGTTTTGTAACAGAATTTTAGATTTGCTGTGGAGTCTTCTTTTATTTGTCGGCCTTGCCTTTTCTTTTTTTTCTTTTTAATGTGGGCTTAAACCATTTGTTACAAGTGTTCCAGCTCTAGAAAACAAATAGACTTGTTGTTTAAAGTCTTTATTATGTTCAGATAGCATGGTGGTGTGGTTAACACGAGATGCTGTTTTTTGGGGGATTTTTTTTTCACAAGGCAGAGCAATTAAATGCGCTTGAACTTTCTGGGTAGTGTGCATCAGTAACAGAGTCTCTTTCATTAAATTGCATTTTAAAGGCCTTTTCAGCTGAGAGTCATAAGACCTCTTGATTGAGGACAGTCTTATCTCTGTTGTTGCCTGCATGCTTTTCCGTGCTGTGCGTGTATGTGTGTGTGTGGGGGTTAGTTAGTGAGCAGCGTGTCGACTCCCGTCACCCGTCAGTGTCTCTGTTCTAAAAATTAGTACATCACTGGTCACGATGCTGCCTCGCGCAGTCCTTTACACACGATTAGGAAAGTAGCATGTACTGTAATTGGCAGCCTTTGTTAGCTCGCCTTGTTTGAATAATGACATTTAACTCATACATCAGTGATATTGATCCCTGTACTTCATGTCTTCCTGAATAGCCATTGATTAACATGTTCTCTTGTGTCAGCGCCAAACACACCCCATGTAAACCCAAGGCCACAGCAGATACATGTGTTTTAGATTTGCTTTGTTCGCTAAATGCCAGTTATGTACTAATCAGTTAGCACCCAGTCATATACATGTATGCCTTCCGTGTGGGTAGCAAAGCACTCGCATTGGATGCTCCAATAATGTTGCCCTTTATCTTTGCACCTCTTTTTTTCTTTTATTGCATCCAATCACTTTTACTCACTTCCCTCCACCTTCTGCTCCACTTTACCCGGTGACCTTGCCTCTGTAAGTATCTCCCTCCTTTCACTGTTTCAGTTACCGTCAGTGAATAGATACAGAATTTCATTTGTCTTCATGCGTGTGTGTCACTGTATTTCGCATTCAGTGTTGTGCAGCCATACTTCCTCTGACAGAAGTATCAAGAGCGTTCAATATTGCTCTGAATATGTGTTGGTGTCGTGCATCGTGTACATGGGAATTCAATGGGCCATGGATTGGATCTGGCATGGCTAATGGCTAACAGAGTGAAGAGCGATCTATGCGACATTACACCGCATGTCACTCCCATTGACTTCCGTTGACTATGCTTTAGTGCAGAGTGGCATCAATATCGCCGCCTCACACCATTCGTGAAATGAATGTGAGCCTCAGGCTGAGCCGTAACAGAACTCCCTTTTTAATGCCGGCTATTTTCCCGCCGTTGGCCGGAATATTGATCTTCTCTGACAAGAGCGTTGGATATCATAAGTGTGAAGCTGTGGAGTGAATGCGCTTCATCGCTGTACGTCTTTGTGACGCTCATTAAGATGTTTTTGTTAGTGCGCTGCTGGTGCGTGCCGTCTTAAAGCAATAGTTTGACATGTTGGGAAATTTCCTTTCACACTGAGAGCAAGATGAGAAGATCAATACCAATCTTGTTAAGTATCTGTCTGTTCAATATGAAGCCAGGAAACATCTTCGCTTAGCTTGACAGAAAAAGTAGACGCAGGGTGAAGCAGCTAGCCTGGGTCTGTAAAACGCAAGGCCCTAAAGCTCATTAACAATCTAGTTTGGGTAATTCATTCAGAAACCAAGCACCATATCTTTCCTGTAGTTTATAGACACCAGGAGTACGCTGCTGCAAGCCAAGAAATAATCCACATTTATTTTAATTTCTCCACTCTGGTGTTGCAAGATCCTGTTTATATCTGGTTTCTACTAAAACCAGAGGATTGTCATCATAGTGAAGTTTCCAGCCTTTGTGCTAAGCTGCGATGACCCTCTAATAACATAGGTGGGCAATTGATTTTCCCAAGGGGCCACATGAGAAACCGGGACTGTTTTTTGAGGGTCGCACCAATAAGCTGAACTCAGTTCTCCTCATTATTAATTTTCTCTTTATAAGCTTGTTGATGTATTTCTTCACAGCAGTCCCGACTTCTCATGTGGCCCTTTAGGAAAATTAATTTCCCACCCCTGCTCTAGTGACTCCAGAATCATATTGAACTAACAGATATAAGAATGGTTTATAATTTCCCATCTAGCTCCCGACCATAAACTGAACAGGCAAACTATTCCTCTAACAGGCCAGTTCTTTTGGTTCTGCCTCTTTCTCTCTTAATTCAAACAGACAATCCTGTGGATGCAGCCACCAAAAGCAGGACCAGTGAGGACATCCTCAGATCCTCCAGACTGTCTACCTACTCTCCAGAGCCATACAGCCAGTCAGAGTCTGACTACTACCCCTACAGCAGCTCCCCCAGGGGTACGAAACACTGCTGTTTCACTTATTCAGAGTGTACCGATGGCACACATGGGAGAGCAGTTCATTTTGTAGCCATATTGTCATGTTTATCCATTTACTCGCGCTGTTGCTGTGCTCCCCGCGAAAGTGCAAAATTCATAAAGGGAATCTCTTTCATCTCTTTTCCTCTCCCAGCCTATCGGGCGCCGAGAAGACGCTTCTCCACGGGAGGAGATGAAGAGACTTGGAGTCACGGTCTTCAAAGAGTAAGAGCTTCATAATTTTCTCTCTTTTCTTCGCCGTCACACTGAAGTAAGTCCCCACCTCAAAAAAAACGAAAAGAAAGAAAATCACCCATAAATAAATAAATGCACTTTTTTTAATCGCACGGCGCCTGTGCCGTCCTCCTTATTTGCTTCTCTTGCTCTCTTTCTCTGTCTTTCGTTTAATTCTACAACGCGTCCTTCATTGTTTCCTCTCCACCTTCTGCTTCTCTCCTCGCCCTCTTTCCTCGCAGATTGGGAGTGGCATCGGGAGGATGATTCTAAAGGAGGAGATGAAAGCCAGATCTGGTTCCTATGACAACGACCCCTGGGGCAGCGCGAGGAATTCTCGTAGCGGGAGCAAGGAAACACTGAACACAACAAGCTATGGCACCACGGCGTACAACAACACCATCAATGGCTGTAAGGATCCACCTATCCCACCCACCCCCACACCCCCAGTACATCCACCTCTTTTGTCTGCTGGTTTCTTCTGTTTCAGCAGGTTTATGACTGTCTTTCTGTACAGCCCTATATGTTGCCACAAGGGTTTTTTTATGAGCCTCAGTATGTTGTGAGGGCGAGGGCGATGAGGTTTGCGGATGCAGGTCACAAAGGGTCACGGCCGTTGCTGGAGGCTGGGTGGTGTATTGAGATGGAACGATGATGAGTGTGCTTAACAGCTGTGGTAGGCCAGCGGCAGGGGCAGATGTGGCCTGTCAGTGTTGGAGGGATATCTGATCACACTGATTAAGAAAATTGCAAGCTAACTGAAACAGAGTGCTCAACCAGGTGTGCTGAAATTCCAGATGTCACAAAGTCACATGCCGACTTGTTTCTCTTTGTAATAGTCGCACTTCGCTGCTCATACAGTGTATAAACTACTGGTTATTTTATCCTCTGACATTCAGCCTCACCTCATCTCTATCAGACAGGTTTTTTCCTGCTCCCTTTGCTTTCTCTCTCCAAAATTGTTCCATATGGGTGGATCTACCCTTCCATCTACCCCTGCATCTATGTGATTCTCTCACTCTCACAGCTGGTGTCCCATATCCTGTTTTATTTATGAGCGGTAAGATCTCTCATTAAAGCCGCTTCTCAAATGGGAGTGAGCGGGGCTGAATGGGACTCGGCTCGCTGGTGGTGTTTGAAAGGCAACAAAGGCTTGTAACTGTGCAAGCTTGAGTGTTGCAGTTAGATGTTGAAGCATGTAGTGTGTTTTTTGCACACTTGTGCATCTTATTTTTCTCGTTTTTTATAAGATGCTTGCATGTTCCCTGGCCTTATTGCCCCTTTGATGTTTTGTGTTCCTCGCAGGGCTTGATGAATGTGGAACTTGCCCCCCTTTTTTCTTTAATTCCTCTTTTTGTCAAGCCTATAAAAGACAGATTGATGTCAAAACTCTACACTTATTTTCCCTGATGAGGTTTTTCATGAATTTAGATTAGGCTCGTGTGCTGAAGCGTTTATTATTTTATTATTGTTGTTGTTTTTGTGACAGGTAATCGTATCATCTGTTTATTTTACAGCTCCTCGGTCACAGTACAGCACCGATAGCGGTAAGTTCATCTGCAGAGCGTTTCAATATGTGGCTCTGATTTATTTAAATAGCTGTTTTTTTTAAGGCATCAGTTTATTATTGATCTTTTCCTGCTAGTTTTAATACTCCCGGATTCTTCGACCAGCATCATTTGCACACATCTGGAGCTCTAGGGATATTTTTTGTTTTAGGTTAGGCATGAGCGCCATCTTATGGCACCAGAATGCATGAAAACAACTGAACATTTAAGCAGCTCATGGCTAGACTGATATCATGCTGATGTGTTTTCTTTTTTCTGCTTCAGATTTTGTTTGTAAGTCAGCTTCACTACCGGGATATGGCCGCAACGGCATCCAGCGGGTGAGATCACACTGAACCTGGCAAAGCATGAATAGCTGTGACATATTCTATCATACATATTATTTGGCTTAATTCAAATAACTCTTTTGGCCCATTTCACTTTTCATTATTACTTTCGGCCAGCTTTCAAGCTGTTTTATTAGTTAATTCCCCAAAGCTCGCTGCTCTTGTTAATCTCACTGTCCTACTCTGTTCCTCAGCCTCAGAGTGCAGATTGCTACCAGTACCAATATGACAGTGGCAGCGAGGTCAACTGGGGAAGCAGAGGTAATTTAATATGAATTAAAAACACCTTATTAGAGCCAAGCAATTAATCTAACATGCTTTTTTTCAATTGCACTGACTTCATTCTCTCTCTCTCTTTTCTCCCAGCAGAACACAAAGTAAGGCTTTTTTTTTTTTTTAAATAATGAAATTCCACTCCTTTTGTACCTGGGTATCTGAAATGTGTGCGTGTGTCCTTTCCTTTATCCTGCAGATTTACCCCTATGAGTCGCTCATCGTCACCACCAGAGGGCGCAACCGGCTGCCCAAAGATGTAGACAGAGCCAGACTGGAAGTAAGTTAATGAAATGAGACATAAACGGCCAAAGAAATCCCAAAACCATGACTAGAATTTGAGACTTAATTTCTGCTATGATGTGTTTTTCCAGCGCCACCTGTCCCCAGAGGAGTTTGTCCAAGTGTTCGGTATGACCGTGGAAGAGTTTGACCGGCTGGCTCTGTGGAAGAGAAATGATCTGAAAAAACAGGCGCGACTGTTTTAATAACATACAGACGTGTGTTGAATACTGCCATAGAGTCGGAGACGGACTAACTGTAGGAGGGGACGGATAGAAACGAAGACTCCTACACAGTTACACTGCCATGCCCGAGAAACCTGTTCTACATCCCCTCACGTGATAAACCAAATTCTGGTCCCACCAGATGGACTCCTGGGATACCGAGAGAAATTATGCACGCTGGACTGATAAACTTGTGTGCAACTTATGTGGGGTGCAAGCAATAGAGACTGTCATACAGTAGTGTTTTGCTTTTGTTAAGCCTAAAGGATGAAGGATGGCGTGACCGTTAGTGACCAGAGCTGCAGTAGTAAAACATAATGAGGAGAATTTTGGCTTTGCCTTATTTGTTACGCTCTCTTAGGTATGACTGTGCAGCACCAGCAATCTGAATGAGTAGAATGTAGGTATAGCATATCATTTATGACACTTTATCAGTGAGAATGACTAGATGAAAAAGAGTGTGAGCCTGCGAGCATCGCTTTGCTTTTTTTTCTCTCTCTTTTTTTTTTGGCTTAGGGATGCATTTTGTTTACCTGTGCCCCTGTTTTCTTGCTCTCTCACAGAAACTAAGAGACCTGTAGTTTACAACAATTGATTTAGATATGAAAACCAAATTGAGAACGCAAATGTACAATTTATCAGATCACTCTGGTTAAACTTGTCAAAGATCACCAATAGATTCATCTCACTGTGCAGCTGTGCGATAACCTAAAAGAATGTGCAATCACGGCGGTTCTGTCCTTCTGCTTTTCTACCCGTTGCAATAGAACAATGACTAAATGTTTTAGGATGAGAGTTGTAGTCATCCATTTGCATTTGCTTTTTATTTATATACTTTTAGAATGGTAATCTAATAATTTTGTAGCTCCAGAGATTATATCACTCACAGATAAAACACTCTGCAAAGGATTTAACGTGCCGACAAAGATCCAGGGTTGTTGAAGACTTTGAATACTGTTATTTTTGATTTTTGTCACTAAAATTAAACTTCAAATCAAAACCAGCCTCCTCTTTTTTATTACTTTACTAGCTACACTTTTAATAGACTGTGGAATATTGGAATATTTGTTTTAGGCAACTGCCCTTATTTGCTTTCCAGGTGCTTGTGTAAGTATGAAGACTGATACCACCAGAGCCTGTTCACTTCCTGTTAATGCCAGCTGGGGTGCTCAGTAGTACTCACTGCATAGAGTACCAACAGTGTCGAGCCATCCCTCATTTCTTCATGTTTTATTTCAAAAGACTCAGACTCTCTGGTAATTTGGTCTTGAGCAATAGTTATCCAGCCTTTTGAAGGGTGTTTTAACTGTTTGTTTGTTTTTTGTTTCCTTTTTTTCACTCATTTTCAGTCATGCCACAACAGCAGTCACTTCAAGATGCTTTACATTGTAAGGTAAAGACACCAGAATAATACAGCCTCTACAGCTGTCTATATAATACGGTAGAGGCTCTGTCATGGTTTCGGGCTCCCTTTCAGCCAGTGGTGTTGGGGATTTTGCTAAAACTGATTGAATCATGAAAGAAAAAAAAGTACTGTCAGATTGGTATTCTTCAGCATGAAGATCCGAAACACTGCCAAAGCAGTAAAAGCACATCTTTAAAGAAAAACACACAATGGAACACTATGAGTCATGGTTTGGCCTCCCCAGAGCCCAGACCTCAACATTATTGAAGCAGTGTGGGATCATCTTGACAGAGAACAAAACAAATGCAACCAACATCCAAAGAAGAGCTTCGAAAGTCCTTCAAGAAGCCTGGAGAACAGTTCCTGAAGACTACCTAAATAAATCACAAGAAAGCTTGGCTATGGCTGTGTTGAAGAATCAAGGAGGTCATACCAAATATTGACTTTCAAGCTTGTTGGAATTACACAAACTCTGCTCTTGCCTTATATACTGTAGTTCTACATATGCTTGCCCGTTTCAATAAATCACTGCACCTCTTTCCTAACAATCCCAACGGATCAAGATTGCACAGTAGTGTTATTTATTAGTTTCACGAATCTAGTACTCGTCATGTGTCTGAAATGATTCCTTTTTTCTCATAGCAAATCCTAGCATTCTGCTAATGCATGCTGATTGGTCAGCTATGGATTTAGGAGATTAAATGTTTTCCTTAATGGCACATTTTTTCCAAAAAGATCAATACAACAGATATCACTGTCATAGTGTGTTCAGAAAAAAAAAAGAAAATAAAAATAAAACAGTTTTCTAGAGGTTAGGATCAGTGGTCCTGTGAGACTGCTATCTGGAGGCTTGTGTTAGAAATTGTCTGCACTTTGCTTATCTGAATTGTGAAATCATGGCAACGTCAAAGAGTGACTCATGGTATGCCTACCTGTGCGATTGTGCCTTGCTCTCGCAGTTGTCTGTTTTGTCAAAACCCTTTATGAAAAACTCTACCTTTACTTTACTGCTATTTTTATTTGCTAACTATCAGGCAAGTCCCCTCTATGAAACAAGAAACTTGGAGTTAGACTCCTCTCCTATTTAAAAAGGTTTTATTCCAATTATATAGCTGCCTGGAAGCCGCGCGGAAATCCTTGTACCTATCTGGCTGTCCTTTCTTAAAAAAAATCGACTGCTTTTGACAGTAAAACCTCTACTTGCGCAAGTAGAATAGCCAGCTGAAACTCTGCTCCCAGGCAAGTACAGACAGGGTCACATCATCATCTCTGCAACAGGTTCTTGTCTAAGATAAGCAAATAAGACATAATAGGCGCTTTAAGGGAGCAGCTAGGTGGGCTTGGCTTTGGACAGGGCCAGGCGAGTTCCTTCTCTTTGTTTAGCAGACTGCAGACGAAGAAGTGCTAACTTTACCCTTCAAGCACACTTGTAACCTTGTCAAACACGAGTCATTTGTGGCTCCGAGCTGTGCTGCTGCGACGGGAGCTTGGTGGCTTTAGGACCCAGCAGATCAGCGGGTGCCTGCTGCTGCTCTGTGTTGTATCCACTGTGGATCTATCAGCGGCGGCAGCAAGCAGCTCTCCACACGTCTTCACATGCTCGCTCACTCACTCATGGACCTGCAGTAGACTTTCACAGGGACAGCATCACAGCGCAATGGACACAAGCGGCCCCAAGTGTAAGTGTAAGCTGCTTTCTAATTCGTCAGCTAATTAAGACAAGCATGTGTTTGTTTATGGGAACTAATCATTTCTGGGAGACTGTCAAAGAGTGACACACACACCCTTCCTCTCACACTTTTATCTGCGGAAATTCTTGTTGGGTTTTCTACTTCACTGAACCCAAATGTTTACTGCCTCATTTACCTTCAACAAACACTCACAAACATGTCATTTTAGACAAAGTAAATGTAAATGAAGCAAATTGAGTAAATGTGAACTCATGTGGAGCATCTACAAAGATACAATTGTAGTCCACTTAAAAGGAAAAGAAAAGAAATAAAGCTGCTTTGGTCTCCCCCCCAGCTGCTTGGACAACCAGGAAACCAAGTGCAGACCCAAGACCCACAGTTTGATTGTTGTTCTAGAAAGTGAATCTCACTCATCCTGAGTCAAGTCAAATATCTGGATGTGGAGATGAGATCTTTACAGATTGGGTGATCCTGCTAGTAATTGTCTGGTATTGGACGCCAACGGCACAGAATTCTTTTGCACAGATCTCCAGGGATATGCAGTGTGTGTGTGTGTGTGTGTGTGTGTGTGTGTGTGTGTGTGTGTGTGTGTGTTGAATAGCCAGAAATACAAAATGTGTTTCCATGCCATGTGTTTTCTCTGGGCGGGGTGCACTCGCACCCCCTGCACAGCAACATGTTTTCCCACTGTAACAAAAAGCATATACACTTGCCTCCGTCTGGGCTTTAGCTAAACATCAGAAGTGATGGCATTAATCAGGAAAGGTTTGACCAAGTGTAGCATTTCAACTAAGAACATATGGTCAAACCTGCAGTGATTTAAGCTGGTGTTGCTGTTTGCTTTTAGAGCTGTGAACTCTCAAATGGTTTTCATCGACTTGTTGCCCGCAGCCAGGCAGGTAAACATGTGATAGTGATTATAACGTTCAGCTTAATGGACATTTTTACTCAGCTGACTGGAAATGAAAGAAAAGGGGGCAAACCTGCATGCCTACAAGAAAAACAACAATTCTTTTGGTCACTCCTGCCCTCCCGTCCTCAGTTTACCTCCTTTTCCATTCTTTGTGACTCTGTCAGCATATGAGGATTATGTTGATGTTAGCAGTGTTTTTGGTGTGGAGGCAAAGCATCTTAGGAAGGAAGTTTTTAGGGCTTGTCCAGATTTGCAGACGAGCAGAAAATCTCATCTGTCATTGCTATCTTTCTCAACAGAGAAACTCGTACAAACACACAAGAATGCATCTTGACAGACTGGGCTTTTTGTTTGTGTAAACACCACGAGAATAAACACTCCCCTGTCCCCTGCTTGCCTGCAGCTATTTATTTGATCTGTCAGATATGTTATAATGGGCTAATGAGCATTCATAAAGTTTGTAGCATGTCAGAAATGATAAAGATATTAGTAAAGAAGGTCCACTTCAAAACATCCTGCAAAGTGATGAACACTCTCCAGGAGGCTGACATTGATAATGTAGAGGAGTTCACAAGAGCTGAATCTTTTGTATTTGTGAGGAGCAAGCTAGAAGTCAGCTTCAAGAACAGAAAGGTCAAATTAGCTCTGGGACTGCAATCTTTGGACAGGCGACACTAAGATCAAAATTATAGAGAAAGGTTCAGGACCTGGAGTATATCTTTCAAAGCCCAGTAAATGCAGTGATGCATGGGTGTGTGTCTTCCAGTGGCATTGGATCACTAATGTTTACAGATGACGTGATAGGAGATAGAAGCAGCCAGATAAATTCTAATGCTTATAAAGATTTATACACATCTTCTGCTTAGATTCAGACAAATGCTACAGAGTTGATGTGAAAGAGCTTCATGGGACACACGGGGAATGAGGAAGAAAACATACTGCAAAAGGCAAAACAGGGGTTTTTGTGTCACGCAGGAGTCAATCGCCACATCTTTAACTGATCAAGTTGCACTAAAAGCTAAAAAAGAAAAACCCAAGGCAGCAAAAATGTGCGGAACTGCTTTTGCAGTTAGAATTCATATGTTCAGATATCAAACTTGTAAAAGTTGACAAGTGGCAGGTAGGAACTTGAATGGTGTGAGCCAGCGACTGTCTGAGCCAGCTGCAGCAGCAGCAGTGTAACAAAGGTTTTGTTTCCACAGTCGACCTCAGTGAACAGTGTGAGAAGCAGAGCATTCAGGTGGGTGTGAGAAGGGCGAGGTCGTCCCTGCAGAGATGCATCGCAGCAACGGGGTTTGCCTGTGATTTAGCCCATCAGATATGATGAATTGAGGCTATTGTCAGAGCATGTGGAAGAACTTGTAGAGAAAAACAATAGACTATGGAGTAGAAAATGATGCAGAGAGAAATGCACAAGTTCACCACATGCAAATCCCTACTCTGTATATTCATTTCTGCTAATGTGACAGCGTGCTCCACATTCCACTGAGTACTATATGAAAAAGACAGCCAGTGTGTTGCAGGGCATCCATGCGCCCGTGCTTGTGAGCCTGTTGGAATGTCATTCCAACCCCCACCATCCTCTTAATATATTATTCACATAGGAAACGGCTCAGAGTAAGAAAATGTTTTTCTTTTCATAGAACTGAGTTCTGAGCACTGTTAGGAGACAACAGAGGTTTTAATTGGTAGCGGCCGTATTAAATCACAATTTCAGTGGTCTCAGGTTAGCAGTGCAAAAGAGCACAATTAAAATGCTGCCCGCTTTCATCATCTATGCAGCGGTCAGGGGACTTCACTGTGTGCACATTTATGCAACACTTCCTGATTATCTGCTGGGTGATCTGCATTTTTATGTAACAAACAAAGAGTCCTTATACATTTGGCTTTTCTCCAGTATTTTACAACTTGGCTTTTTACCATTAGTTTTAGCAGCCAAAATGAGCAAAATCATAGCTTCCTATGATGTTGTCCTCCTTGCTCAGCTTTCCAGT